TGGGGGGGGCTGGGGGGGGCTGGCATGGGGCTGCAGGGGCCAAAGGGCTGGGGGTGGCATGGGCTGGGGGGGGCTGGGGGGGGCTGGCATGGGGCTGCAGGGGCCAAAGGGCTGGGGGTGGCATGGGATGATGTGGGGGCTGGGGGGGGCTGGCATGGGGCTGCAGGGGCCAAAGGGGTGGGGGGGGCTAGCATGGGATGATGTAGGAGTTGTAGGGGGGGGGGGCTGGCATGGGGTTGCAGGAGCCAAAGGGTTGGGGTTGGCATGGGATGATGTGGGGGTTGTAGGGGCCGAGGGGGTGGGGCTGGCATGGGATGATGGAGTTGCAGGGGGTGGAGTGGGGGCTGCAGGGGCCAAGGGAGTGTGGGTCCTGGCATGGAGTGGGGAGACCTGGGGTGTGAGAGGGGAGAGATCGGGAGTGGGGGTGAACCTGGGTCCTGGGACAGTGAGGCGGGTAGGTTCTGGGGGAACCTCGTGTGGTGGGGGGGAAGGTGGGATGGTGATGAGGGGAGACCAGAGCAGCTGAGTCCAGGCCATCCGAGGGGGCTTGCTTGGGGGTAGCTGAGGGATGTGGGGGGTAGAATAGTGGGGGTGTTTAAGGAGCTGTATTATGGGGTGTCCTTGGGGAAGCCTGGCCTGGCACAGCAGCAGCCTGGCAGGGCTGTGGCATGGGGAAGTAGGGCATGAGTGGGGTGGGGTTGGCTTAGGCACACTGGCTGCATGGTGTGTGGAGCTGAGCTGCGTGGCATGGTGGGCTGGGGTGGCTCTAGTGCGTTCGATGTAACAGCACAGAGGTGAGTGGCCTGGGGGTTAGATATGCTGATGGAGAGGGGTGGAATGTGGGGTGGGTGTGTTGGCATGGAAGGGGGTGACAGTGGATCTGGGGTGTTGGCATTAAGGGCAGTAGAATAGGGGGTGTCTGATTTCAGAAGTTTAGCGCTGATTAAAAACAAAACATAAAATGCCAACACTCAAAACGCTTTTGCCCATGCCTAAGTCTCTGCTCACGTCTTCCTGGGAGCAGGTGGTGGAAACCAAGGGACCAGATTAGCTGGACCTTGTGCCTGATCCCTAGTGGTGGTTCCCGTGACTGTCGGGCACACACATTTCTACTCCTCCTTGTGCAGGTTTGCTCAACAGCTGAGCTGTGCTGTGGAGAGAACCTGATGCCACAAACTGCTTGGCCTGCCAGCTGCCTTTATTCCACTATGCTTAATGCCAGGTCCAGTGACTCGGATTACATTTTACCTGCCAGATCTGTCTTTTAATTTTTTCCAAAGTGAACTGATCAAAACAATCCCATCATGTAGTGAAAAACAATCATTAAAGACAACTTATAAACTGGCTCGGTGCTAGCAAAGGACTTCCAGTGGCTGCAGCGACATCTTCAGTGTGTTAGTTGTCAGGCTGTCTTAGGTAATGTCCCTATCACCGTAGCATCAGAGCTCCTCACAATCTTTTAAATGTATTTCTCCTCACAGGTCCCTGGGGGGTTAGGTCATCCCGCTGACCAGATGGTGAAATGAGGCTCAAAGAGACTAAGTGACTTGCCCAGGTCACACAGGGAGCTTGTGGCAGAGTAGGAAATACATCCCAGATCGCTGGGCTATCCTTTCTCTCCTACCAATAGTAGTGTTACTTGCATACAAAAGACTTGTGCTTCTGTTTCTCTGCTAGTGGGGGAAACAACTGGGTTCCTTACTGTTCTGCCATTGATATGTCACAGTTCAGGGCAACTGCACCTGTATTCCCCCTCCTTGGCCCAGCAGGGGCACCCGCTTTAGGCTTCTGGCTCCCAGCTGTCACCTCTTGTTGGGGGGAGACCTGTGTCTCGCTGCTCCTGATGGGGGATTTCTGCACAGTTCTCTGCTAACACTGTGCTATCCCCAGCAAGCCAGACTCTCTGCTTTCTCTCTCAGGCTAAGACTGTTGTGTCGCCAACCATTGCAAGTTACCACACAGCTCCTCCGAAGTACTGTACATTTATTCTGAAGGTAAAAGCATTACAGAGAAAATACGTAAAAACAATAAAAGAACTGACAGGCTAAAAAGCTAACCAGAGGTCACCCCCAACTCCGTCCTACAGCTCTGGTAGGTGTCTCTTCTTCAGAACCCACAACTAGGTTTTCCCCATGCTTACAAGTTCATCCATCTTAGATCCAGGGCAGAGACTGGGCAGATCAGCTGTTTCTTTATACAGCTTGGGTCTTGGATCTTGGCCCTCTGTAACAGGTAATAAACAGACAGTGACCCTCTCCTCAGGGCATAGCTTCGAAAAGCTGGGTTTTTGCATATCTGGGAGTTGGGGAATTTGCATTAACCCCTCCCTAGGGATTCCCCAGGAAATCCACTTGTTGTGCCAGACAAGTATGGACTTTTGGGACATTTTCAGTAGAGTCTCTTGAATTCCCAGGTCTCACATCTGTCACATTTCCCTCTAGAGCAGTAACAGACAATCCCAGCCCACAATAATACATGCATTTAATACAATAATGGCGTCCGGAGATATTGCAGGAAGTTGCCAGCTCTGTCACAATTGGGTTTTGGAGTTTCTTACTCTTCTCCCATTGAACCCTCTGTAATAAACAAGACAAGCCAGTGAGGCTGTTATTTATTATTTGCATTATAGTAGGTGCCGGGATCAGAGCCCCATTATACTGGGCGCTGCACAGACACACACAGCCCCTGCCCCTGAGGAATTTAGTCTAACTGGACAAGGCAGATGCATGATGGGAGGGGAAGTGACTTGCCAGAGGTCGCATGGTAAGTCAGTGGCAGAGCCGGGATAAGAAACGAGCTCTCCTGGCTTCTAGTCCCGTGCCCTACCCACTTTGCGATGCTGCCGCCAGGCCCTGGCTTATCCCCTTCAGAGTAGCTCTCGCTACCACCCTGCTTTGCAAGGAGCATATGATCTGTGGTGACGTGGGTGTAAATATCAATCCCTGTCCCCCGTTACAGTCTGTTCCAAAGCGTAAGTGATGTTCTAGCTGGGCTGTCATGCAAACTGAGAACTTAATTACCACAGACGCCAGTGTTAGGATCCTTTTTGCTAACAACTGAGCCTCGCTTAGCTACCTGTCTTGCATTCTGATGCGCTGCTCTTCACAGGAGCACAGATCTCTGAATTGTGGCCTTGGGGTAGAACCCAAATGGGAAATGATAGCTTTCCCTGCTGGCATGTTTCCACATGAAATCTCTCTCTCTCGTTGCTGTCTAGAGTCTGCCTCCATATACTATGTGTTAAGCTTTCGAAATGCTGCTCTCGCTCCTCCATCCCCCCCATTCGCGGTCGCTCCCAGTAACTTGTTGATGATTCTTCGGAGGCAGCATTGGTATCCTCCACCAGCCACTGAGAGGCAGGAGTGCTGGATTCTATTTCTGCTGCATGGCCCTGGGGCAAATCAGATAATCTCTTGAGACATCATTTCCCCTCCCCCCC